TGTGTGTGTATGTTTGGTGGGGGGGAGGTTGTGTGTGTGTGATCCCAAGGGGCTTCCTAAAGATCCCACGTGGTAGTAGGAGGGGCGGGGCTGCTGGGAACTGGTTCTTGTTTAAATATAAACCCATCCGATAATTAGCCAACAGCCCACTTCTAAGACAAACAAAATAGGAGATTTGGGCTCCAGGGCTCCACCCTCGGCTCCGCCCCTCCTACCTCACTGCGTTCCTAGGGCCCAGAGGGAGAACCCTTCCCCCACACAGGACCACCTGGCAGCAAGAAGGCCTGGGGGGGCCGGAAGGCAAGTGTCCCTAAGGTCAGCAGGACAAGGGCCAGGGGAACTGGGTGGGCTGGCTTATCCCCTAAGCCTAACCACCATCCGCTCTGGTCTGCTTTAAGGACCGGAAGCCCAGACTCGGGAGAAGGGAGGGCAGGAGGAGCCTGGAGAAAGAGGGGGACACCATCCACCTCCCCCACCAAGCCCATGCGGTCACCCCCCCCCCAACCTATCTCTAGAAGTCAGGAAGGGAGCTCTGCAAAGTCCGGTGTCCTGGGCTCAAGCCAAGTCTGGACACCCCAGCTCTCTCAGGGCTGCTTCAAGAGAAAACACGAGAACAGTACCAAGTGCTCTGTCTAAAGGCCAATTCTGAGAACTCTGCCCCATCAGACGCAGGGATGACCTGGGGGCCTGGGCCAGGAGTTCTGCTGTCCCTCGAGGCCCTGGACACCCGGAGGCTTGAGGGCCCATTCTGTCTCCCCCCACCCCACCCCCAGACTCGCTGATCTCTGATTAGCCAGGAGGTTGAGAGGTGACTCAGCAGGCTGCCGGGGGCTCGGCTGACTCACAGGTTCCAGCCCCCCAATTTGAAGCAGCCACGAGGTATCACAGAACCCCCATCCAGGGCAGCGGGAGTCAGCTCCTCCTGAGGGGGAAAAGAACGAGCTGGGCCAGAGGCCAAGGCCTGCTCTCAACTGCTCAGGGTGGCTGGCTGGGCACTGCCAGTCCTCAGAAGAGCCCAGTTTCCAGGAGCTGAATGTCTCCGTCCCACCCCCAACTTCTGGAGAAGGCCCTAAAGCCCCCCTCCCCCACCCTCCAGGCCTCCTGGCCTCCCATGGGCTCTAGGAGGTCTCTCGGGACAGGAAGGGCCTACAGAGCTGAGGCTGGGGGGAGGGGGGGTGGGAGGCTGTCCTCTCTCATCTGGGGACCCTCAACTCCAATCCCTTGAGTTCCCACCCGATCTGCCTCGGTGCTCAGCAAACCACTTCCCTTCTTTGGAAACGTGAGTTTTCTGTGAAAACTCACCATACCGTATCTGACTCCCCGGGGAACGGTCTCCTGCACCCACAGACAGAGCCCCGTGGCCCACACTGGTTTCTTGACCTCTCACGCCTTGAGCACTCATGAGGGAGCAGCTATTTCATGAAAAACAAACCACACAGGCTTCCTGCCCTGGGCATCTTCAGGTGGAAGCGGATGTGGGGGGGCTCGCTGGAGTGGGGGCACTTTCTTACCATCCGTTTCTTTGAGGGAGAACAGGCCTCGATGGTCTTCTCAGCCCCTTAATCATTAACAAGTACGGGAGGTGGACAGGGATCTCAGGGTCGCAGTTAGTTTTACAGATGGAGGGTGTCAGCCCAGAGGGCTAAGGAGGGGCCCAGCCTCACTGAGCCTTCCAGGACGAAGCCCAAGTAAGTATGCTCTGGGCTTTGAAGAATTCCCAAGAGCTCTCCCAGGCCTCACAAGGGTGCTAGACACCCCCCCCCGCCCCCGGGGCTTCCGTTTCCCCCTACCCTTTCTGTGCAATTAAGCAGAGAAATCTCCAGAAGACCAAAAACATCATTCAGCTGAAGTAGTCAGTGGCGGGGAACACACCCCCAGAATTGACCGGGCCTGGTGCCAAGTCGGTGGGCTATGCCCCGGGCAGCGACTTTGCCAAGAGGCTTAGTGGTGATGTGTGTGTGCGTGTGTGTGTGCGCGTGTGTGTGTGTGTGTGTGTTTGTGTGTGTATGTGTTGGGGGGCTGAAGGGGAGTTCAGGTCTTAAAACAAGGCTTATTTAATTGGCCAAGGCAGGGAGTGGCAGGAAGGCAGGGCAATGCTCTCCAGCTGGGCAGGAAGAACTGGTTTAGGATGGAAAGCTCCGCGAAACCCTGTAGAGGAAGGTTGGCCCCTCACCTGGGCTCCCTTCCCAAAGCCTGTGGCACCCAAAGGATGGGGTGCCACCCAAGGAGAGCCAGGTTTACACTTCAAATGCGGGGAGGAGCCCTCCCAGCCCCACCGAGCTGCCCTCAGCCTGGGGAACCAGACCCAGTGACCTCTCAGCTCCCCTCACCAGTGGGCTCAAGGGACGCCCCAATGCCGGGCTCCAGACAGGGGTGTCATGAGCAGACTGGTCAGTGGGACACACTGGGTAAATAAATAAATCCACCTGAACTCCAAGGCATGGAGTTCTCTCTCTGATCAAGAAAAGGGAGGCCGCATGGCTCACTGCTCCAACCTGGCTGAGTCTGATTTTTCTGCCGTCACAGCCCTGCATATAAAGGGGGTGCAGGAGGCTAAGAAGGAAAACTGGGTCCCAGCAAGAGGCAGAAAGGCTGTGCCAGTCGCCAGCAGGGAGGCACTGAAGCAGGAGAAAGATGCTGGCCTGGCAGGAAGCAGCTGTTCAAGGGGCCCATTTCTCTCTGGTTGTCCAGCCACCACCTGACAAGTCTTCCCACACCCCTATCCCAAACCACTGCCAGCCCCTGAAACCCCAGATACAGCTGTTGCCTCTCACCCCAAAGCACCTGCGGGCTGAGTCTGGCATGTATTGGCCACGAATGCCCACGCCCCCCTCTGAAGCCAGACTACGATCCCACACCATCCGGGCCAACCCCATCCAACATGGCGCTCCTTTGGTTGCATCCCTTTGACACATCCTGAGGGCCGCCTTTGCATCAGCAGGTCTGGGTTCGAGGCCTGACTCAGTCCCTCCCCTTTGGGGATGCCCGCCCTTGAGTTTGGGAGAGCCATCGCTTTACGCTTCTGGGCCTTGGTTTCCTTCCTTCTCGGAATTCCTTGAGGCTGGAGGGCACAAATCTCATCAGATTCTGAACTAGTCTTCTCGTTTTTTGTTTTTTTTTTTTTTCCAGTTGTTGTTGCTTCTGTGTATTGGCCCGTGGTGTTAAGGCTACAGCTTGTGGTGCTCAGAGAAAACATGCTGTTCCAGAGATCAAAACCGGGTCAGCTACATGCAAGTCAAGAGCCATAACCTCTATTAAATTTCTCTGCCTTCTCCCAACCTCCGCCCCAGACTACTCGTGAGTTATCCAAAGACAAACCACATAGGGCTGGAGTGACAGTACAACTGAGTAGGGCGCTTGCCTGGCATGCGGCAGGCCTGGGTTTGATCCCTGGCACCCCATAGGGTCCCCAAAGCACCACCAGGAGTGATCTCTGAATGCAGAGCCAAGACTAGCTCATGCATACTGCTGGAGGTGGCCCAAAAACAAAGTGTAACTGCAAAGACGGAGCACAGGAGAACTGCATCATCAGACTGCAGGTTAAGATAAGTGCCAGAGCCTGGAGTCCCAGGCACCGGAATTTTGAGTCTGACTCAGCCCCTTCTAAGCTGTGTGGCCTGAGGCAAATTAGTTAACCTCTCAGGTCCCAGTTTAGGAAGGGTCAAGAGCCAGGATGCAGTGGGAACTGAACTGGGGAGAGAGCTCCTGAAAGAGCTGCAGGAAAATGCTCACAAGTGCTCCAGCTCCTAGCTGTGCTGTACTGGGGAGCTTTCATTCCCTTTCATTCCTCACTCCCAGCCTGCTAGGGGAAGCTCAGACACACAGGAATCTCCTCCAGGAGCTGACACTCGGGATGAAACAGCAAGGACTCACTCCCGCAGCCCAGATCCACAGCTTAATGAAGGGGGAACCCCAAGCCGGGGCTCTGGGGGCGGCAGAGGACCCCTCCCTGGGTGATTCTGCGCCCCTAGCTTCCCAGATCAAGCCAGTTCCACGCCAGCCAGCCGCTTGGAGGGGCCGGGGTAAGGAGGTCAGATGAAGGGCCCTGGGCACGTGAGGCCCCAGCTCGGTCAACTGACCATGCATAGCGAGACCTTAAGGCGGCTGGCGTCCCAGTGACGCCTTCTCTGTCCCCCAGACCCCTCTCCCCAACTCCAGGTGGGTGCTCAGATGTCCGCCAGGGCCAAAAGACAGAGCGAAACCTCTGGCAAGTCGCCGGGAGGGACTTCGCAGGGATGCGCTGAGTCCCTCTGCCATCCCTCCCGCCTTTCAGGACGCGCGTCCCAACTTGGTAGGGGCCCCAACGGCGCGCGGAGACCCTCCTCCCGCCCCTGCCCCGCCTCCAAGACCTTTGTACCCATGCGGGGTCCCCCCCACCCCCCCCACCACCGCCGAGTCTCCCCAGAGGCGGGGCCCGTAGCGGCCAGAACCGGGGTCAGAACTCAGTGACCCAGACCCCGCGCGGGGCCCTTCCCCGCTTCCCTGCCGGCTTCACGCAACGCCCACCCCCCAAACCCCAAGTCGCCGGGTCCCCTGTCCCGAGCGCACGCAGAGGGCGCGCCGCGCGCCTCGGGGCCCCTGACGCCGAGGATCACGAGGGAAGAAGGGGAGAAGGGTGAGGGGAGAAGAGGGGGCACCGTTTTCAACCACGTCCCAGCCTCCCCCCACCACCCCCCTGAGCCCCGCGGCGGGGGTCCGAGGACCGTGGCGGGGCTTGTGCGGAGGTAGAGGGGAAGCGCAACAGGCTGGAGGCGCACGGGGAGACCCCCTCGGCCGGCCGCGCGCGCCTTCTCGGGGACCCCGGAGTTTCCAGTTTCCCCCGGAGTTGGAGGGTGGGAGGCGCGGTCCACCCCCCCCCCCCACACTCCTAGCAGGCACCACCCGCGTCCCTGCTCCCTTGTCCCCCCTCCCTTGGCAATCCCAGGCGCCGGGGAACAAAGGAGGCAGCGGTTGGGGGACCCCCCCCCCACCCCGATCCCCAGCGATCTCCCAGCACCTACCGACTCGCCGGCAGCGGCGGGGAAGCCCACGAGGAGCAGCAGAGGCAGCAGCGCGAGCAGGCGGGCGCGGAGCATGGTGCGGGCTGCGAGGGGCGCGCGGTGGCCGAGGGTGGCCCGGCCAGCGCGCGGCGCCTCTTATAGCGCCGGCCGCCCCGCCCAGCCCCGCGCGCCCCGCCCTCCGCACCCCGCCCGGAATTCCCCCGCCGAAGCGGGGCCCGCGGGGCTGGAAAGCCCGGAGGGAGCACCCAGCCTCGGCCCCGGGCCGGCCGCCAGCGCCCCGTCCACCCCGACCCCGCGGCCCCCACCCAGCTCCCGGGCGTGTGGCGCGCGCCGGCGGCGGAACTGTTCGGGGAAACTGAGGCACACGGACTGCAGTTTTCCGTCAGCACTTTCGCGCCACCGGGTCGGCCTGGTCCCTTTGGAGGGGACCAGGGGTCAACGGACTTTTGAAATAAACTTCTAAATAAGACTTCGGGCTGCAGGGGTGGGGAGGGGAGTGGGGGTTGGGGGGTGGCTCTGGTTGGCGTCCCGAAGACTCAGACGCTGGGTCTTGCTCAAAGGCGGCCTGGGGCGGTCAGCTCCTTTGGTTTTCCACGAAAGACGGTGGCGGGTGACGTTTGGATTTCATATGCTTTTCACGTGTCTTCAAGTAATATTTTTTTTCCACTTCCACCCCCCAACCGTTTGAAAAAAAAGTAGCTTCTTCTTAGCCCCTGACTGAGTCAAAAGCAAAGATTTAGGCTCCTAAGGCAGGTCATCGACTTTGGGACTTTGGGCTCCCCCCGGGCTGCTCGATTTTCAAAGAATTCCAGTTCGTCAACTTCCTAAAAGTTGCATCTGGGGGAAGCTGGTCTGCCACTTTACCTCCATGCTCAGAGTTGCTTTTCACTGATGGAAAAGGAAAGTTGTGGGTGGGTCTTTCCTTTGTCCCTGCCAGGTGGGGAGAGAAAATAAAATTTCTGGGCCCCTCCCCCAAGTACAGATAGTAATAAAATGGTCAACAAGCCGGGGTGTAAGCATTCAGGTGCCCAGACCAAGATTCTGTATATATTGATACAAATATCCGTCCACAGAACTAGGTCTTTTTGACCTGCATTGGCAGATCACAAATTATTCACTGTGTAGCGAGTGGGCGTGGTTTCCACTCTTCCATCTCTCAATTATTATCGAGGATGAAAACGCTTTTAGGGAAGTGATCCTTGACGACACGAGGCAAACTTCAAATGACGATCATGCTCTGCCCGCATATGTAAAGGTAAGCATTTATTTTCAGCTGTCCTCATCAGTCTTGCGAGGAATTTGGAAGTAGACTGAGAACATGCCTAGATTTCATGTCTGAGGAAGAAATCCTTTTTGCAGAACAGATGTCTTTTTTTGCAGTCTCTGCTTCCCACACAGTTGAAGGCGGGGGTCTGATCTCGTTGTCAGCAGATAGATCATTAAACATAACCTTTGATAATAGATCACTGTGTGATTTTAGCGATCTGTCATCACATTGCTATAACAAGACTCCTTCCTTCCCCACCAACTCCGCCAGTGAAAGTTTCTTCGCAGTCATACCACGGCGTGGTGAACAGTTCGGAGCTTCACAGTGAGTGGGGAACTTGGAGGAATGATAATTTGTACCAAACTTTTTGTTTGCCTTTTTTTGTTCGTTTGTTCGGAGGCATACCCGATGGTCTTCGGAGGGTATGTGATCATCAAAACACGGGTCCAAGCTAGCTCTTTGACTTACCTTTGCCACCCCACATTAGCAAAATTTTACAGTGAAAATGTTCCTACTGTGGGTGATTTCAAGTGGCGTCACTGAACGTAAAGTTGATTAGAAATAAGTGCAGAATTTCTACCACAGAGATACAGTCGGTGTATGTGATGGCAAGAACACAGGGCTAGAGGGATGATTTAATGAACGGAACACCCGCTTGCAGCTAGGAGGCCTGGATTTGATCCCTGGCACCGCCTGGGCCCCTGAGTACCAAGCCAGGAGTAGCGCCAGAGAAGCTATGCGCAAGGGTGAAGTATGAGGGTTTATTTATATCCAGAACTTTCCTCCCCCAGTTCTGTGCTCATGTACTCCCCCAACCACTAATATCTGTTTTGGTTGGATTCCTAGGTACAAACTGGTGAGACCCAAGACTTGAGGACAGTGGTCAGTTATATCTCAGTAAAACTGTTTAACATTCTTGGAGAACTTTTTTTTTTCTTCAGTGTTTTACATGGATTTCCTTCTTTTCTGTTTTTGTTTTTGGGCCACACCCAGTTATGCTGAGAGGTTACTCCTGGCTCTGTATTAGAAATTACTCCTGGCAGTGCTTAAAGAGACCACATGGGATGCCACGGATTGAACCTGGGTGGGCCACATACAAGGCAAGTGCCCTACACACTGCACTGTCACTCCGGCCTCTGGTGTAAGTTTTAGGTGTGTGGGGTTTTTTTGTTTGTTTGTTTTGTTTTTTTGCTTTTTGGGTCACACCCAGCAATGCACAGGGGATACGCACTCCTGAGGGCTCTGCACTCAGGAATTACCCCTGGCAGTTTTCAGAGGACCCTACAGGATGCTGGGAATCGAACCCGAGATGAGATACTGGGAATAGAACCTGAGGAACCTGAGTCGGCCACTTGCAAGGCAAATGCCCTACCCGCTGTGCTGTTCTCCACACTCCCTAGGTGTGTGTTGTATCATGTCAGCTATCTCCTGGGTCCTCAGTTACATTCCCTGTTTGTTTGCTTCAGGACCACACCTTGCAGCTGGGGAGGAGGGGAGCTACTCACAGTTCTGTACTTAGGCTCACTCCAGATGTTGCTTGAAGACTCTTTAATACTGGAAATTAGAAGACCTGGGCCACCCATATCCAAAGAATGTGCGCAGCCCACTGGGTACATCTCTCCAACCCCAACTGCCTTTCTTGCTTTGCTTTGGGAGCTGTATCCAGCAGTGCTCAGGATTTACTCCTGGCATTGCTGGGGAGAACCATAGGCCGTGCCAGGGTCAGCCACATGCCAGGCAAGCACCTTGCACTCTGTACTTCCTCTCTGGCTTCCTCAGTTGCCTTCTTATGATAATTGTGATGGTAGAAAAACTAAAACATGGTCTATGGTCATAGAAAGTAAAACAGTACCCTTGACATGTATATTTTTAAGGAAAAATGTATGACAAAGTTCTTGGTAACACTCATAAAAATATGTCACGGGGCTGGAATGATAGCATAGTGGGGAGAGCATTTTCCTTGCATGCAGCAGACCCAGGTTTGGTCCCTGGCATCCCATATGGTCCCCCAAGCACCACTAGTAGTAATTCCTGAGTGCAGAACCAAGAATAACCCCTGACCATCAATGGGTCACGGTCACACGGTCACGGTCCTCCCATTGTTCATCGATTTGCTCGAGCAGGCCCAGTAACGTCTCCATCATGAGACTTGTTGTTACTGTGTTTGGCATATTGATGGGTATAACCCAAAAAGAAAAAAAAAAAGAAAAAGAAAAAAAAATAACTCAAAGAAACACCATAGTAAAATCTTGTGGTGGAACAACATAAGAGTGGTAGTTTCAGTTTGAATAGAAAAAGAAATTTGAAATTTTGGTCATAAAAGAGTCTACCCATGTATTTCTCAAAAGGATAGTCATAGGTTTCAGATTGCTAGGGTATTTTACTCAATTGGATGCATTTCATTTAAATGGGTACACTTGAGGGGCTGGAGCAATAGCACAGCGGGTAGAGCGTTTGCCTTGCACGCGGCCAATCTGGGTTCGATTCCCAGCATCCCATATGGTCCCCTGAGCTCCTACAGGAGTAATTCCTCCGTGCGGAGCCAGAAGCAACCCCTGTGCATTTCTGGGTGTGGCCCAAAAAGCAAAACAAAAAAGAAAAACAAAAACAACGAAATGGGTACACTTGAATGATGTGAACATTTCTTCTTAAGGGCATGATTTTATAATGTTTTGGAAATTATAAGCTTCAATAAAATTTACACATAGATGAAAAAGGTTTATCTAACCAAAAAAAAAGTGTGTTAGAAAGGGCAGTGGAGAGATAGAAAAGGAGTAAGGTGCTTGCAGCTGACCCATTTAATCCACAGCATTGCTTATGGTCCCCAAGTACCGCCAGAAGACTCGGTCCCTGAGCACCGAGCCAGGAGTAAGTCCCAAACACAAGGATGGAGTACATGCACCCCACTCTCTCTCTGGCTCCACATGCCTCCCCAACACCACCAGGGGAACCCTGCTGGCTCCTGACACTAAACCACCACCCAAGTAGCTGAGTGGCACCCAGTGTGGCCCCCCCACCTGCCCCCCCACCCCCCCACTGACAGAAGTAGAGGCAGGAGAGATGGCTTCAGGGCATTATGGTTGCTCTGCATAGAGAGAGTCCCCTGGGACTGGTTACCAGTTACCATGCAGTTCCAGAGCGCTGCCAGCTGTTGTCTCCCCACCCCCCAAAACAGGGTGCCAAGACCTGTTTTCACAAAGTGAACCCCACAAACACACACCTTCTCTCAGGCCTCCTAGGCTAGCAGTGACCAGACTGGGCACTCACCCGGAGCATCCGCAGAGGCCAAGAGCGAGAAGCCACAAGCACGGTTAAAGGCCCACAGCTCTGGGGCCAGAGCGACAGGACAGTGGGCAGGGTACTTGCCTTGCACGCAGCAACCCAGATTCAATCCCCGGTACCCTATGCCCTGAGATCACCAGGAGTGATCCCTGGGCACAGGAGCAAGTCCTGAGCACCGCTGGGTGTGGTTCCCAAGCAAAAACAATCAAAGCCCAGTTCAAATGCCACCTCCTCCTGGAGGCCTTCTGGAATCTGCTTCTACTCCCGGTTCTCATCTCTCTGTGCTCTGAGAGCTCCACTACTGTGTCTGTCCTCGCATCCTCAGTCACAAGATGACGTGATCTTGGCTGCGGGGTGAGAGAGAGCAGGGTGGATTTCTGACGGTCTAACCACGGGTGTGTGTGGGTGGGTGGGGGGGGACTTGACTTCTCCGTGCCTCATTTGTCACTGGGGAATCGTCCTAACTGTCCTAAGCAGGGCCCAGACCACATAGGCTAGCACATACCTGTTCCTGAGATTTGGTTGGTTTGGCAGTATCGGGGATCAAACCCAAGTCTTGGAATGAAAAACATGTTTCCCTAT